ACAGGATGGCCCACCTCTCCAACCGGCCTCACCACAAGGGCAGTGCTTGAGCTCGGGGTGCTTGGGGACGGTGGAGAGGGCGAGGCCTGGGGGGATGGATCCTCAGCCATCTCCGTGAACTCGGCAGGAAGGGCCCTGCAAGGCAATGATCAGCTGAAGCAGCAGGAAAGTAAGGAACTGAGAAAGGGAAAGGCTTACTCATCAGTGGCGAAGTACTTCCTGCGCTTCAATAGACGGCAAGGGTAATCATCACCCAAGGCCTCCCTTCTCTTTCGGAGAGCCTCGAAGTCCATGCGGAAGCGGCCCAGGAGCTCGGTGTAGGGGTCAGCCTGCGACGAAGAAGAAGCGCCAAAGTGACCGACGTCAGGGACATCGTCCTGGCGCACGCCGCTAGACGCCTCACCAAGAAGGGTGACCGGGGCCTCAGGGGCCTCTGCCGCGGGAGCCGCGGGCCGCGGCTCAACACCTTCAGCCGCCGCAGGGCAGGCCTCAGGAGCTGTCGCCTCAGGAGTGCCGCATGGGGTCATCACCCCGGCGGTGGCCCCCTCAGCCCCCGGTGGCCCTTGCCTCCCAGCTCCACCACTCGAGGAAGGACCGTCTTGGGCAACCGGAAGGGCAACCACCACAACTGGGTTCTCACGAGGTCCCACGAGGCCTGCGGGGCGCAGCCCCCATTTGTCGAAGCTGGGCATATGCTTCACAAAATCACCCCTGTTTGAGCAAAGGTACAGCAGGCACCCCCATGCCGGATGCTGCCAGGGGAAGGGTCCCCAGTCAGGATCATGAGAACCTTCCTCAGCACTTCGGGCGTCAGATCTTCCTCCTGGAGCCTCATGCGGTCTTCACGCCCCTCGAAGGCCCACATCCGGCAGGAATGGCGCTGGAGAGGGGCAATGCGGCATAGGAGGAACTCCTTCACCACCTTGGGTGCCGTCACCCCGAGCGCCCTCAAGTTCGCGAAGCGATGCCAAACGAAGACGAGCCGGGGGCTCGTGAGCGTCTCCTGGCCCCAGCCCGAATTGGGGATAGCGGGCAAAGTTGGCTCCGAAAGCAGGGGGCTGGGCACCCCGACGTCCACGTACAGCCACCGCTCACGGAACCCGGTCGCAGGCGGAGGAAGGCTGAAATCGATTCCCGAAGCCACTATTTCTGGTGCGGCAAGGAAGCTAACGCACCCCGAGCATTGGGTGGGGTCGCTGAGACGCAAAGAGAAGAAGTGGCGCATCAAGGCAACTGAAGGAGGAATGCCCATCATCGCCCCGCAGACAAAAGCGAAAACGGCAAGAAGAATAATGGATTCGGGACCCAAATGCATCATGTGGATCTGGTAATGGGAAAGCACAACGTTGAAGAACTCAGAAAAGGGGGGAACCAGTCCCGCCCACAGGGCGTCGGCAAAGTATCGGACCTCGGTGACTATTCTGTCAATGGCAAAGTGAGACGCGGGCCAGACCATCGTCCTCCCGCACTCGTTGAAGATGGTGGCGAGGGCAGAACTGACCTTGTCCAAGCCTTCCCGGTTGAGTATGATCGACCGGTCGACAGCAGGAGCCGTCGACGGCGACGGGCGGGGCGAGGGCACAGGCTTTTGCCCTTTCCCCTTCTTTGTCAGAGCCATGGCGACACGAAGGGGGAGGATTCGAGATTGTATTGGAAGCGGAGACTGGAGCTCGAGAGAAGGAAGAGCGGGAGGTGCGCGAGCAGCGAGAAGAGAGGCGACTGTGTGCAACCACAGGGTCTGCCTAGCTGGGCGCAAAATAAGGAGGTGTGGGGGAGCAGGGACACCCACGTCCAATCAACCGCCACGCAGCGCCCAAGGCCGCAGGCTATTGGGGCCCGCAGCGCTTCGCACTTGCCCCTTCGCTTCTGTGCTAAGCCAAGTCCGGGCGCGCCTTGGGCCCGGGGGCTCCTGTCGGCATTCTGGGAACGGGGGTACCCAGACTTGCCTGCTTGCAGCCTGCGGCGTGGCTCAAGGAGTGGCCCAGTATGGCCCATCTTCATCAACACATGCTCAAGACCCTCGCGAGGGGTCAAGCCTCGCGGGGCGGACAACAGGAGGCTTCCTCGGGCACGGCCTCGTCAGGCTGGCTCGCGAGGAGGCGGAGGGATCAAGGCGGGGTACCTCGCAAGGTGCTCATGACGCAAGCCATGACGACCAAGGCCAGGCGGGCGCCAGCCTGCGCAGAGTCCTTGTTTCCTCTTTGGTGCAAAGGGGGCAAGCGCAGGCAAGAGTATCAAGCAAAGGCAACCATTTCGGTGCAACAAGACCAAGACGAGCAGGACGGCAGAACGGAGGTCATCGTGGAGCCCAAGCCGGCGTCATCGTCAGGGTCTTTGGCAGGCGAGGACCAACTTTAGTCAGGATAAGTGTACTAGATGTTCCCCTTCAAAATGGCCAATTATTGGCGCCCTTCCCGCTCAATATTTGGGGAGAGGCCCAGGGCCTCCGCCTATAAATAGGACTATCCACCCATAGGGTAGAGGCATCTGGAGACAGAGGGGAGATCGATCCAAGACATCGGCATCTAAAGAGAGAGAAAGAGAGAGAGAGGCGATTGAACTTCCCTAGCAGTTCATCGCTCCAGCCAAGAACAGACCCTCGCGAGGCTGTTCTTCCTTGTACTACTCATCATCATCAGCCCCTGAGGCAATCCACCACACCACAAACTGGAGTAGGGTATTACACCACAATGGTGGCCTGAACCAGTATAAATCTCGTGTCCCTTGTGTTGTTCTTCGTGTAGTTTTAGATCCTTGCGAGGCGACGAGACATGGGTAGGCAGGAGGTGTGATCTCTGCGTGCACCGCAGAGTTCGAACCGTGAGGGTCTGCCGGAACCCGTAATCCGACAAGGACGTGGTCGGTGCCCCCGACGAAGCAAGAGGTGTACACGGCCACTTTGCGGGGCTCAGCTTGCTTGGCATCGTTGCCGATCTACTGGCCGTTGGACATGAGGAAGACGTTGGGCGTGCGGGCTTTGGAAGTGGCGCGGCCGCCGACGATGAGCAGAGCGTTGTTCAAGCATGCCTTGGTGTTGGTCCTACTGCTAGCGAAGAGGCCGTCGATGACGGCCTTGAGGTTGGCCTGGGCAAGCTGTGTTACGGAGCGTAGCCGACAGTGTGCCTCATGGCAGAGTTGGCAAAGAAGAGGGCGTAGAGGCGGTCGACGGGGGTGAGCTTCATGACGACGAACCGCGCATCGCTCTCTTCATGTTGTGTAGCTTGTTGCCATGCATGAGTTGTAACTTGAGTATTGTAAGTTTCGTGACAAAAACATGTTTGTTTCGTAAGTTGTAACATGGTAGAACAAGAAAAAACATGTTAGGACTAAAAATGAAATCAAATATACAAAAAGCAGTGCACTTCGAAGAATAGAAGGATGCATATTTGAGGAAGAGAAAAAAAAAGTTAGGAAAAATAGTGTAGTAAATTTTCGTCCAAAGAGTTATGCATGAATTAGCAAGGGATAGGACATTACGTACAGATGAATGTAGATAACGTAAAGGGAAGTAATTGGGCAAACGAAAACAAACATAAAAAGAAGAGGATGAAATAGAACTCGAACATAAGAGCAATACAAGGACGAAGGAAGAATAAGATGAACAAGCAACTTGCGAAAGCAGGGTATGTAACAGAACCGGGACGTAGCATACACACAGGTAGAAAGACGTATAAGAATGGTCCATGAAAATATTTGTACAAAATAAACATTTTTTAGGGTAAAAAACTTTCATCCATTTTTCAAAATAAATACTCCCTTCATTTTTGTATACAAGACCACAAACCCATATTACAGGTATCAAGGTAGAAATTAATGCTTACTTAAGCCAATGTTGCAAGCTTGTCTTTTCTCCTCGCTCGACGTATTAATATGTACTTTTCTCTTCAACGCACAACAAGACAACCCTCTCACTCCTCGTTGGTTGATTAATGTGGTACATGAAAACCAAGCTTCTTTACTCCCACATGCATGCAAGGGGTATTAATGTCTTTGGTTGCTAGTACGAGGCAAACCTCATCAATTTTACCTCGATTGATGTTAGTGACCTTGTATAGTTGTAAATTGTAATTTTGATAGTGTTTTTGTATAAAAAATGGAGGGAGTCGCCGGCGAGCCGGTGGGTAAGAAATGCCGGTGACTCTGTGGCTGCCTGTCACTTGCTCGTATTCTATCAAGTTGGTTGTACGGCGACTGTTTCGGCGATGGTCGGGCACTCGGGTGGAACTCCGCTGGTGACATGGCGGCCCTCGACTGAGCACCTGTCCACGCCCACCGCCGGCCCCGGCGTGGGAGAAGGTATGGGGGCTAGATCTAGTTTTTTTTTGTCTTCCTTGTTTGGTAAAAAGATTGAAGTCTTTTTTGGTTTTGCTTGAAATCCGTTGCATTTTCGACTATTGAGAAATTGTTCCAAAGTTTTACCGCGATCTCTGAATGCTAGCTTAAATGTAGTGGACGGTTTTTACGTTTTGCGATGCTACGTCTTTTAGGGGAAAAAGATGTCTTTTTTGTTAAGTATCCCACAGAGTTTTGAGCACGATCTTCAAACTGGATGTGGGCTGGGAAATCAGTATTCCACAGCATATCTCTGGGCGTAAGCGAGTAGTAGTAATTTTTAATGGACTTTTAGTTATTAGTCTTGTCTAAAGAACGTACTAGTACCATACAGTAGGGCGGCTACCTCTCCCCTGCCTCTTTCGGCTCCATCAACTTTGTTTTCTCCTCGCTCTTGTTCTGCACCCTGTGCTCCCTCCCTTCCCGACACGGCTACCGCCGAGCTCGCAGCCGAGGTGGGAGAGCGTGTCGAGGTCGCCCCGCGGGCCGACCGACTGTAGGGTGGTTCCTGTACGATGGTCGAGCGCGCGGGTCAAGCGACGCTGGTGACCCGGCGGTCGCCTGCCGAGCCCCTCTGGCAGGCGAACGACGGCCTTCTTTGCCGAGTTGTTGGGAAAGAAACGGCGCCTTGATTCCACGCGCGCCGCCGCCCTGATGTAGAAGGAAGTATGGGGGCTGGATCTAGGTTATCTCCTCTTCCTTGTTTGGTGATAAAGATTGAAGTCCTTTTTGCTTGAAATCCGTCGCATTTCGACTATTGAGAAATTGATCCAAAGTTCTATAGCGATTTTTGAATACTATATTAAATGTAGTGGAAGGTTTATTACGATTTGTGAATGCCACGGTTTTTTAGGGGAAAAGATGTCCCTTTTTCAGTAGGAACAGAGTTTTCAACACAATGTTCATGATTTAGTGACTGAATCTGGGGTGGCAAATCAGTATCCCACAGCATATGCACCCCATTCACTCTAGTTAGCCCACCCCATATCCGCAGCATACCATCTCTCCCTATTTTAGGTACCTGGCAATCCTGGATTACGGCCATGTACTTCCTGATTTCTTTGTAGACCACCCCATGCCACCTTGAGTGGTTGTCTGATTGCCCAATTGCCTGAATCACAGCAGCATAGTCACTCTGTAGAATTATTCTATCCACATCGAGCTGCAGACCAAGCTTCATTCAGTCCTTCGGCACACGCCCTGGCTCTGGCCTCCGTACAGTGCCCCAACAACAGCTTCACCATCATGAGTACAGGTGGCAATGCCAGCGAGTGAATGATCCACTTCCTGCATATACATAGTATTGAATTTTATCTTTATCCACCTGAGTCCAGGCCCCTGTTCCAAGTGATTGTATTGTGATCTTACCCTCCCCCCGTTTCCTCCTGAACTCGAATTTTGCAGGCCATTGCCGTCAATCAACATTGGTTTCTCCCACTTCATGTCCTCCAGGGCAGGCAATCTCATTTGTGAATGCCACATTAAATGTAGTTTGCGGGTCTTTTGCTCAGCTTTCCACGACACTGGCGATTTTTTCAATGTTTATTTAGATTTTCAAAAGTTTAGGGAACACTTCTAATATACTTTGGATGACGGAACAGGTTGGTGGAAACCTGCATTGTGCGTGGTTCTTTCAGAAGTCTTCACCACGGGGACAGTGTTCCTGGGAAAACTTGCTGTGCTGGTGGAATGAGCATATTTGCGTTGCTCTTCTATAGAAGCATGTTCGGTGCTGTGTTCACCCTTCCCTTTGCTCTTTACTTTGAAAGGTACGTTAGACCATTTTTCCATTCAGTTTATATGTACATAAAACCTATTTTCTTCTATAACTGATAACTGACTTGGGCAAATGCATACCTGCAGTGGCAAGTGGAAGGAGGTGAATACAAAAACTGTTGGGTGGCTCTTCTTAAACGCGCTTTCTGGGTATGCTATTTATATGTAACTTATCTCTATTGCAGCCCAAGGGGCATTTATATATTACAAAGGACTTGGGTACAAGGAAGGAAACGTAGCCTAATACGGACTTAGGCTGGTCGTAATGGTAGTACCATAGCTAGTATCATGCATGCCAACTAGACAATTTTGATGAGGTGTCATAGCATTAAATGAAGAAAGAGAGGTGTAGTATCATATCATGATACCGTATCATATTAAATGCTATGCTACTTTGTGTCATGCATGGCAATAAATAAATTACTACATGATACTAATATATGGTACTATGCATTAGGGAGGTAGTATCATACACTAGTATCATATGCATGATACTAGTATATGATACTAACAATTACAACCAGCCTTATGTTTTCTTTGGTAAGCTAATAAGTGGTTATAAAATAAAAATCCTAAAATATATTTAGGTAGGTAAATCGCAGGCAGGATTTGGCAAACATTTATTTGCATAATCAGTACTCCCTCCATTTTTATATACAAGGCCACAAACCCATATTACAGGTACCAAGGTAGAAATTAATGCTTACTTAAGCCAATGTTGCAAGCTTGTCTTTTCTCCTCGCTAGACGTGTTAATTAATGTGTATTTTTCTCTTTAACGCACAACAAGACAACCCTCTCACTCCTTGTTGGTTGATTAATGTGGTACATGAAAACCAAGCTTCTCACTCCACATGCATGCAAGGGGTATTAATGTCCTCGGTCTCTAATACGAGGCAAACCTCATCAATTTTACCTCGATTGATGTTAGTGGCCTTGTATAGTTGCAAATTGTAATTTTGATAGTGGCCTTGTATACAAAAATGGAGGGAGTACCAAAGAGTTTTGCAATGACGGGCCAAATAGTCCTAGCAACTACACAGTTAAAGAAAAGCTGTGCAATGCTTTCTTCCTCGTTACAAGACACACAATCCAGAGGCTTGATAATATGTCTTTTCCTAAGGTTGTCTCTTGTTATTGGAGAGAAGCCACAAGAAAATGTGAATTTTTGGGGGACAATCAATTTCCATACTGCAGGGACAAAGACTGGCTGGACACTCCTAAAGTTAATCACATGATAAAGAGAGGACACTCCTAAAGTTAATCACATGATAAAGAGAGTACTAGAGTAATGACCTTGTTTTCTAATTGTCAAATCAGTGTGTCAGTGTCATTGGTAAACTTGATACTTTTTGCATTCTCCACTATCTCATACCACTGCTCCATGAGCAAGTTGTCAAAATTCCTCCTAAAAGTGAGCTTTACTTGGCAACCATCCCAGATATCACAGATAGTTTTAGAATGCTCATTGCAAATAGTGTAAATAGGCCAAAATTGGACAGTTAGTGGTGAATTGCAAACTAATGTATCTTCCCACGACCTAACCACTTCCAGAATCTGGAAGGGTTTGGACATGAGCTAGCAAAAAAATTAGGAGAATCAGGCTTGTATTTTTGGTCTATAATTCGTTTCTGGAGTTTCCCTTCTCCTGCAATTTATCGTTTCAGCCAAGAGCCTAGCAGACAGAGGTTGACCTCTTGCAAGTTAGGGACTCCTAAATCGCTAAAGTCATTCTTTGTACAAATCATCTTCCAATTGGCAAGATGAATTTTCCTATGGCCTTCAAAATCGTTCCAAAGGCAATGAGCCATTTGGGAGTTGATAAAATGTAGAGCCCATTTGGGGAATTTTTAAAAAGAAAGTGGGTAGATTGGGATGCTGGCAAGACAAGATTTTATAAGCACTAGCCTCCCTTTGTAATTAAGGAGCTTTTCCCTCCAGCCGGCAATCCCTTTTAGAATCTTATCTAAAAGAGGTTGTACATCCTCACTTCTAAGCTTGTCATGGTGAAGTGGGACACCAAGGTACTTAATAGGGAATTGGCCTGTTCTACATTCTAGGATATCGACAAAAGGGGGAATCTCATCCTTATCCATATTAAGGAATGAGCTCAATTTTGTTATAATTAATTTGCATCCCAGGAACTTGCTCAAAGCAAGTTAGCACTCATTTCTAGGAAAAGGATTGTGTCGCTCGCGTACTGGAGGCAAACCACACCCCCTTGACAGACCAGAGGACACTATCCTTGTATAACATTTTGAGAAGCAGCTTTACAAAGCATTTTTGTCAGGACATCCACCACTAAGTTGAAGTGGAGGGGGGACAGTGGGCCCCCCTTTCTTAGGCATTTTCCAGTGGGGAAAAAGCTGCCTTCGACATTGTTAACTTCAACACCAACTGAACCCCGTGAACAATTTGTTTAATCCACGAGATCACATTGGCTACCAAAGCCTCTTTTTTGCAAGAGACGTGAAAAATTCATTATAGACAATCTATTTGTCAGGACATTATTGAAAAATTTAAAGTTGCAGTTAAGCAAGCTAATGGGTCTGAATTTTTTTTTCATTTTGCTTGCATCTTTCTCTTTCAGAATAAGAGTGAGCGTAGTCTAAAAAGGTCTAATTTCCCTTCATGAAACTATGAAAGTCTCTAAACATGTCTTGCTAGCAATTTTTTATTTTGTGCAGGTACTCGTTACCAATGGCGTTTTATTACTACGGATTGCGGAACACAGCAGCCTCATATGCGGTGATTTTCTCGAGTATCACCCCGCTAGTCACGTTTGTTCTCTCGATATTGATCGGGTAATATATGTGTGTGTGGTTGTAATATTTTGCTACTTTACAAAGTACAAGCCCTGCATCTGCATTTTTCCATCGGCCTAATATATATATGAAGTTAGTGAACCTTTGGTTGCTTTCATTACTGCAAATTTGATACATTACATAAACATTCAGTGTAAAAATTACAATTTGTTTATTATATTGTTAAAATCTGTATTATCAATAGATACAATAATACGATATTTTCTGTGACACACATAGGATGATTTAAATGTTTGAAACAATAGTTTGGAATTTCATATGCATGTTATTTGCCTGGTATCAACATCATTATTTGAATGCAAAAAAATTAGCTTCAATTACATGCCAAGTATTGAAAGAACAAATATTTCTGAACCACACATAATATTTTGCCTAATTAACTCAATCACGTGATTTTACAGCATAGAGCAGTTGAACATCAAATCAAAGAGTGGCAGTGCAAAAGTGCTTGGAGCACTTTTCTGTTTCACTGGGGCTTTACTTATTAGTCTCTACACTGGAAAAGAGCTCCATCGAGGGAGGCTGGTTATAAGTGTGTCCCCTAAAGGTTCTAATGCAGCTTCTGGAGAGAATCATTTGAGGGGCACACTACTAATGTTGAGTTTTGGCCTCAGTTACGCAACTTGGTACCCTATCCAGGTACTTTTTTTAGAACCGCCCTCATAGGCATTTATTCCTTTTGGTATGCCATTCAGCTGCCGAGCCAGCTCTTTCTCATGTTGCGAGGAACCCCTGTATAGCGATTTTGATGTCTCCTTCTCGAATTTCTTGCACACCTTTTTGATCTTCCGCTGCATCTACTTTTAACTGTTAATAATGTATAAATGCTAATTTCAGGTGAAAGTTCTGAAGGTCTGTCCGTGGAAGCATTGGTCATCTGTGCTGACCTGCATTCTTGGCGGTGTGCAACCTCTTGTCGTTGGCATAACAATTACACGGGACAAAAGTGCCTGGCAGATGAAATGGAACATCCAATTGCTAACTATCATTTATTCAGTAAGTTCAGAATTTATTGCTCTTAATTAGTTTATTCATGCAAAGGGGTTTTTAGATTATCGAAAATGAAAAAAATGGAATGGGCTACAGATGGATCTAGCAGAACTATGGGCACATCATAGTTAATTGTTAATTGTTAACAACCCAGTTCAAGTTTTTGACTAATTGTCTGAGGACTTCATATATGGTTGAGAGCATTACTTTCGCCTTTGAAATAGCCAAACGTTTCTTTCTGTATTTTTCCAACTCAATTTAAGTGAATAAGCAATAAATTGACTAAACTACCTGTGATTTCGAGCTGTAGGCTGCGCTTGGCACAGCAGTCAAGTACTGGCTCAACCTGTATGCCGTCGAAAAGAAGGGACCGGTTTTCCCACCTATGTTCAGCGTTCTATCGACAGTCTTCACCATAATTTTGGGAATATTGTTGCTAGGAGAAAGTCTCACCCTTGGGAGGTAATGCAGATATTAAACACTTCTGCATTAACATAGTTATATATCTTTCTATGCAATAACATGCACTTTTTCTGTTTTATGGCAGTTTGCTGGGTACTGCTTTAGTATTCGGTGGTCTTTACACATATCTTTATGGCAAGGCAAATGAAAAACACGCTGAGACGACGCCAGCTCCAGGTCTGTAATGAAGCAAAAACTTATATTTTGGATGATAGCTATCCCCATCTGCATGTAGTTGGAGTAGGAGGTTTGTGCTGTGGGCATTGTGGAAGCTCAGAACCGGTGCTTGTTTTGAGAAGCTTATTAAGTCGCCGCCTGCTGAGATAAATCTGCTATGTGTGTTCCTTTATAATACATTCGGCAGGGACGCCGCCTGCTGAGATAAATCTGCTATGTGTGTTCCTTTATAATACATTCGGCAGGGATGCAGAAGGAGACAGACGAGGAGCTTCTGGTGCCTGGTACAACGACGCCACAGAGAACGGCTCTCTCTGTGACGACTGCGCACACTAGTAGAAAAAGGGTCAAACGTGAAGCACATTAGTGCCGGTTTGTATTTGAGCCGGCACAAATGTATACATTAGTGCCGGTTCCAACGGCTAGCCGGGCCGCTCTCATTAGTATCGGTTCGTGGCACGAACCGGTGCTAAAGGTTAGCCACGAACCGGTACTAATGAGAGTGGTGGCAGGATGTTGTCAGTCTGGGCCCCCTCCAGCACCTTTAGTACCGGTTCTTGGCACGAACCGGTACTAAAGGTCGTCCTACATAAACCCTTCGTCCATCCGAGCTCGCTCTGTTCTTCCCCTTTCCCCTCTCCTCTCTGTTCTTCCCCTCTTCCTCTCGAGCTCATCACACATTTTGCCTAAATTTTTTCAAGATTTGAAGGCCCCCATCCATTCAAATGATCACAAAGGTTAGCAACTTTGTCCTTTCATCTCTCATTGCTAGATTAGCTCTTGCAATGCTTTATATAGTTATTAATTTGTGAGTTTAGTAATCTGGAAGGAAATATATATATGTGCTAGTATTTGATTTATATGCAATTTGAGGTTAAAATAACACTTAGTTTGCATATGTAGGTGTGGTTTACTTAGTGCCTTCTAAATCTCCGTCGTAACCACCGTTGATCGCTCGCATCGTCCCGTTGCCGGCACCACCTTGTGGTGAGCCTCTTGTTCATGAAATTTTATATAAAAAATTGATGTTTGTGTGATTTGGATATATAGTTACTCGTATAATAATTATCTTACCCGTACGTTCTTTGTTATACATAGTGCCATGGTTTTGATATCCGTCCCCGTTGGCCCTCGTCCTTGTTATGATTCGGCTGTGGTATATTCTCTTTTAAAACTATTTGTTGCATTTCGTGTTTATGACAAATTATGCCCATCAAGTTGACATAGATATTTTTGTCTAGGAGGTATGTGAACCGGAAATTCCAACCGACCCTATTGTCGAGAGGTTAAATTTAGTTGAAAGAGAAAACGAGTACTTGAAAGAAAAATTGAAAAGAATTGAGGGGGAAAAGATGAAATTGGAGTTGCATGTTGCCGATGTCGTCGATGATCACAAGATCAAGAAGGAGAAAATGCGCTTGAAGATTAGAAAGATTAGAAAATATGCCATCGATAGTGAGGCTTGGTATCATTATGCTGTTGGATCAATTGTTACCTTAGTTGCGATCTTGATCGCATTTGTTGTTGCATTTAAATGCTTTAGCTAGAGAGTTATTTGTTTGTTGCATTTAAGTGTTGTATGAACTTTATGTATGAACTTGTATTAATTTGGTCTATTCGGTGTTGTGTAATGAAGATGAGCCGACAATGGATATATGATGACCGATGCTCTCCCCAGTTCGTTGAGGGCGTGCATACTTTTCTGCTTGCGGCTGAGGCAAACAAGCGGGCGGATGGTTTTATGCCTTGTCCATGTGCTGCCTGTAAGAATGGTCGCAATTACTCTACGTCAAGAACCATTCACGTCCACCTGTTTGAGTCCGGTTTCATGCCCCACTATAATGTTTGGACCAAGCACGAAGAAAGAGGGGTTATGATGGAAGACAATGAAGAAGAAGAGGACGACGACAGCTATCCTGGCCATGGGTTCCCTGAATACGATGATACAACAATGGGGGAAGAAGCTGAGCCGGTAATGCGGGAAGAAGCTGAGCCGACAATGCGGGAAGAAGCTGAAGAGAGGCATCAGATGAGCCCGTTGATGATCTAGGTCGGGCCATTGCCGATGCAAAGAGAAACTGCGCAAGTGATTTGGAGAAGAAGAAGTTGCAGCGCATGTTAGAGGATCACAAAAATTGTTGTACCCGAATTGCGTAGGTGACAAGAAAAAGTTGGGCACCACACTGGAATTGCTGCAATGAAAGGCAGAGAATGGTGTATCTGACAAGGGATTTGGAAAGTTGTTGGTAATGATAAAGGATATGCTTCCAAAGGACAACGAATTGCCCGAGAGTACGTACGAAGCAAAGAAGGCTGTCTGCCCTCTAGGGTTAGAGGTGCAGAAGATACATGCATGCCCTAATGATTGCATCCTCTACCGTGGTGAGTACGAGGATTTGAACGCTTGCCCGGTATGTGGTGCATTGCGCTATAAGATCAGCCGCGATGAGCATGGTGATGTCCAGGGCGAGCGCCCCAGGAAGAAGATTCCTGCCAAGGTGATGTGGTATTCTCCTATAATACCACGGTTGAAACGTTTGTTCCAAAACAAAGAGCATGCCAAGGCGATGCGATGGCACAGAGAAGACCATAAGAAAGACGGAAAGTTGAGAGTACCCACTGACGGGTCGCAGTGGAGAAAAATCGAAAGAAAGTACGGGAAGGAGTTTGCAGATGACGCAAGGAGCGTATGGTTTGGTCTAAGCGCAGATGGCATTAATCCTTTTCGGGAGCAGAGCAGCAACCATAGCACCTGGCCTGTGACTCTATGTTTGTATAACCTTCCTCCTTGGTTGTGCATGAAGCGGAAGTTCATTATGATGCCAGTGCTCATCCAAGGCCCTAAACAACCCGACAACGACATTGATGTATATCTAAGGCCATTAGTTGAAGAACTCTTACAACTGTGGAATGGAACAGGTGTACGTACATGGGATGAGCACAAACAGGAAGAATTTGACCTAAAGGCATTGCTGTTCGTGACCATCAATGATTGGCCTGCTCTCAGTAACCTTTCAGGACAGACAAACAAGGGATACCACGGATGCACGCATTGTCTGGATGATACCGGCAGTATATATTTGAATAGTTGTAAGAAGAATGTGTACCTGGGACATCGTCGATTTCTTCCGAGCAGGCATCCCGTAAGAAAGAAAGGCAAGCATTTCAAAGGTGAGGCGGATCACCGGACGAAGCCTCGCCACCGTACTGGTGCTGATGTACATGATATGGTCAAGGATTTGAAGGTGATATTTGGAAAGGGTCCTGGAGGACAATCCGTTCCAAAGGACGCTAACGGACGCGCACCCATGTGGAAGAAGAAATCTATATTTTGGGACCTGCCATATTGGAAAGACCTAGAGGTCCGCTCCGCAATCGACGTGATGCACGTGACGAAGAATCTTTGCGTGACCCTGCTTGGCTTGTTGGGCGTGTATGGGAAGACAAAATATACACCTGAGGCACGGGAGGACCAGCAACGTATGCACGGAGAAGACGGCATACATCAGGGTCATGCAAGCTACGCTCTTACCAAAGAAGAGAAGGAAATCTTCTTTGAATGCCTGCTCAGTATTAAGGTACCGTCTGGCTTCTCGTCGAATATAAAGGGAATAATAAACATGGCAGAGAAAAAGTTCCAGAACCTAAAGTCTCATGACTGCCACGTGATTATGACGCAACTGCTTCCGGTTGCATTGAGGTGGCTTCTACCGAAAAACGTTTGATTAGCCATTGTGAAGCTATGTGCATTTCTCAATGCAATCTCTCAGAAGGTAATCGATCCAGAAATCATACCAAGGTTACAGAATGATTTGGTGCAATGTCTTGTCAGTTTCGAGTTGGTGTTCCCACCATCCTTCTTCAACATCATGACACACGTCCTAGTTCACCTGTGCCAAGAGATTAACGTTTTGGGTCCTGTATTTCTACACAATATGTTCCCCTTTGAGAGGTTCATGGGAGTCTTAAAGAAATATGTTCATAACCGTGCTAGGCCAGAAGGAAGCATCTCCAAGGGCCATCAAAATGAGGAGGTCATTGAGTTTTGTATTGACTTTATTCCTGACCTTAAGCCGATTGGTGTTCCAGAATCGCGGCATAAGGGCAGACTGGATGGAAAAGGCACGCTAGGAGGGGAACAAATAATATGTATGGACGGACATTCTCTCACTGAAGCACACTACACAGTTCTACAGAATTCCGCCTTGGTGGCTCCGTATATGGATGAACACAAGAATTTGCTACGCTCCAAACACTCGGAGCGGTCTGATGACTGGATTACACGTGAACAAACCAGGAGTTTCGCCAGCTAGTTGCAGACACGTACCATGCATGACACCTCTATTGAAGATGACCTGTATTTGCTGTCCCAGTTACCATCTTCGAATATAATGACTTTCAAAGGGTACAAGATAAATGGTAATACATTTTACACGATCGCCCAAGATAAGAAGAGCACCAACCAAAACAGTGGTGTCCGCTTTGATACAGAAACCAAGACAGGAAAGGAAACATATTATGGTTATATACAGGACATATGGGAACTTGACTATCGACGTGGTTTAAAGGTTCCTTTGTTTCGGTGCAAATGGGTCAATATGACACGAGGCGGGGTAACGGAAGACCCGCAGTACGGAATGACAACAGTGGATCTCAACAATCTTGCGTATGCAGAAGAACCATTCGTCCTAGCCAATGATGTGGCACAGGTTTTCTATGTGAAGGACATGTCTACCAAGCCAAGAAAAAGAAAAGACAAGGAAGCGAATGCATCATACGATAAGCCAAAGCGGCACATAGTTCTTTCTGGGAAGAGAAACATCGTGG